ATTTATATTTTATTATTATATATTATTTTTCCATGACGATAGGTGAGGCTCTGCCTCACCTACCTCCCCTGACTGCACGTCACTGGTGCACACAAGACCATGATTGGCAGTGCTAAGCCCCGCCTCCTGGATCTGATTGGTTGTTTCTAGTTGGGGAGAAGGGGGAGGGGCTTGATTTGTTCACAGATTATCTTTCTCATATCAGACTGTTACGACATAGTAAAAGTTTAAACAAATATGTGAAATGCATATATTTTCTTTTACAAAAGTTACATTCCAGAAAAACAATAAAATAGAAAATGAAAATTACATACTACAGCTTTGATATAAAGAAAATTATTAGCAGATAGGTTTAAATCAAAGACAAAAACATGCAAAGCAATATATTTATGCAGCTATTATCAGAAACTGTGGTGGACGGTAAATGTAAAGTCAAAGCCTCTGTACATCTGAGTGACTCGCCTCAATAATCACACTGAATGAGTCTAGGGATCCTTAAGAAGCAACAAAGCTAGAGAATAGCAAAATGACTAAAATTAAATACATTGTCTCTGTTACAATTCCAGTTTAAACGCACCTGATTTGTATGAACTGCATTTCCTCAGTCCAAAGCCACACCCAGAGGCCCTTACAGGCCCCGGCCCTACAGGCGCACGCTGTTGGATTCTGTTTTAAAGGCAAATAGACAAGCAGTGAGCGTCGTGGTATGAAACACACGCAGCAGCTCTGGGCATGGTGGAGCTACTGCGTTCTCTCTGCAGATACCCGGTGCAGGCGGCCTGATGCGGGTGGCGCCTCTCCGCCTCATGGATACATGAGACGGATGAGCAAGCGTTCAGACCAGCACATTGAATTACTGCTGATCAAACAGAACTAATTCAATCGGTGTCTATCCTTGTCCTCCATTTCAATCACGGCTCATCCTCAAATCATTCTGGGGTTTTCTTAATGCTGACAGCCTCTCATGTTCCCAGAGTCCAGGTGAGCCATCAAACTGCTTTTAATGGCCGAACTGCAGAGAGAGGGTGGGGGGTGCATTACTCAGCAGCGTACTGTTACGGCTTTGTGCTTTTCAAATGATCTTCTGCTTGCCAGCACATGTGAGAGCTCAGAGGCTTCATGCCACAAAAGTATACAAAACTGGAGAAGGGTCGCTATCAGCGCTGGGGGCCATTATTAGCTCAGATAAAAGACGCTGCTGGAGGGGAGGGGGAAGAGGGGGCCTACGGTGATCTGACTATGATAAAGGCTGAACAATAGATGAAGAAATTATATTTACATTCATGTGTGTAAAGTGATGCATTTGGAGGGACTGGCTTTCTCATTAGTTACGGAGCGCAGTGCCAGACTCTCCAGGCAAATTCAAAGCAAATAAGAAGTTTGTGAAAAGGAAACCAGTTCAATAAATGGTGAAGTTTCTGGATTTGCACCATCTGCCTGCTCCCCCCTCCCCCCACGACCCCTCCACCCCCCCAGCTCCACCATCAGATACTCAAACAAAACTATTGTTAAACTGTCTGTCAAAGGTTTCTACTAAAGTTAATGAAAGTGCTTCGACATCATCTGACAGTTCATCTGACATCTCTTCCTCTTTAACAAAGTCGCTCTTTTCCTCCAGAATCTCCTGCATCACATCATACACTGGCCTTGTGCCCCCTGCTGGAGGACCTAAGTACTACAGTTGGGCAGTGCCAGTTTTATCCAGATATGTTCACATCGTTTGAGAAACACAATTATCATTGAGTGATTACAGAAAGCAAAATAAATGATGACGTTTTTTCATAAGTATTTAACAGAGTGATATGAGAAATGATAAATAATTATCAATATTGTCACCTCCTTAAAATAATGGCCTACGGCCTAAGGCCATTATTTTTGTTGTCAAAAATGTTGTTGTTTTTTAGGGGTGGGGGGTTTGCTGCTGCTCTTGTTGCCTAAATAACTTTTGACAAAAAATTACTTGGACCATTAAATAATGGTCCAAGTACATGGACCTTTCATGTACATTATATCTTCACCTTCCTAAAATTAGGAAGGTGAAGATATAATGTACATGAAATAGTGCAAAAATATTGATGAGTAGAGATTTTGTCAAAAACAAAAGTTTAGCCTTAAATGTGTGGACATATTTGACTAATTTCTGTTTTTTTTTTCTAGTGTCAGTGTTAAAGGGTTAACCAGGAGTCAGTGTGAGCTGTGAACACTGGGGTCAGACAGAAGCAGAACTCTGACTCCCACAGATCAATCCGACCCCGCCTTATTCACCCTGTCACCACCAGCATCTGGACTCCACCAGGTGAGCCCCGTCTACAGGGGTCCCCACCCACATCCACAGTCTCCATGACAACTACTTACCATGACGACCCACCGCCACCCCCTTCACCATGACGACCTCTGGCACCCAGCCGTCCTCCGGAGGCCTGTAATGGAGCTAACTCGGCTGCAGCGGAGCCAGCCTGGCTGAACCCCCCTCACCTCCCCACCCCCCTTCACTGCTGGGGGCTAATGCAGAGGAATCACAGGAAGCGATTCTCCTTTACACAATAAAGCCCACTTCACCCTCCACAAGTGACCCCTCACCTCCAGAAACAAGAACTGATTGGCTCCACACACCCACCCACCGAATGGAGATTCTGTCCTGCTGCAGGCCGAAGGAAAAAACTCAACATAGAAAAATAGTTTGAATAGCAGCGTTAACCCAGTTTAGTGCCCAGTGGCTTCGCCTGTTTCAGAGCTGAGTGGAGTGTGCGCAGCGAAGAGAAGGGCTGATTGTGCGCTGCAGGAATGCATGTGCAGAAGCAGCAGCTCGACACACATGCATGCCGTTTCTTAAAGCTTGTCTTTGTCTGCAGGTTGCATAATGATTTCCTGACAGCCTGTCAGACATTTGAAATTGATTCCAGGAAACAGGGCTTCCTTCTCTGTTCTCCATGCCATCATCTGCATCCCCTGATGACTCTGCTCCTGAGCTGTCTCTTTCGCTCATATTACCTTTTCAGAATACTGCTGTCCTGGGTGGAAGCGTGAGGAAAAGAAAATAATGTAGCAGCCCAGGTAAACGGGTGATTCTGAGTTTTTGACCTGCAGCTTTAAGACCTGTCTCTAATTTCAGACTGCGTGTGAAAGTTTTCCTCCTGGCCTCCCAGGACGGGACGGAGACGAAGAGAAAGGCAGGCAGGCAGCTGTGAGTGTTGCATGTTTAGCTGAGTGATGTGAGACTTACCCCCCGGCTGTCCCTGCAGGCTCAACATGCTCTCACAGCGCTGGTTGATGCTGCTCAGTGCTCCGCTCCTCCCAAAGCTTTCATCTGCCATCGCTCAAATCTCCCTTCTTCTTTCCCTCCCCTATCTCTCTCTCTCTCTCTCTCTCTCTCTCTCTCTCTCCTCATTTCTCTACATCTTTTGTCTACCCATCCCATGTCTTCCTGTCCCTCCATCCCTGCTCATCTGATTTCTCTGAACTCCCACTTTCTTGGTTCTGCTTCTCTCACTCTTTGCTTCACTTTCTCCATCTTTCTTCCCTCCCTCCCTCCCACCCCTCAGCCTCAGCAGCGCTCCGGGAGCATGGTATCGCTTGTCTCTCGGCTGGCACAGAGAACAGGCAGACACATGGGAGGGCTGTTTTGTAATCCAGCAGTTCATACCACCCTGGCACAGTGAATGGGGGGCAGAGGGGATGCAGAGCATGAGAAGAGGGGGAGGGAGGATGGAACAGGCCTATACTGCTACCTACTAACCTATACTTTCGCTTCATCCCTCTGTCTGCGCCTTGATGGTCTCTCCCTTTTTTCCCACCACCGACAAGAGGTCTCGCCTCTCTATATCCTCTCTTTTAGGTCGGGGGGGAGGGAGAAAATGAGGATGGATAGAGGCGGAATGGAAGAAGGAGGAAGTGTGGGAATAAGATGAGGAATGAAAAGGAAGAGGTAAGGGATGAACCTCCCAGATGGGATGTCTGGGAGGGTGGAGGATGGAATCTATGAAGAATCTGAGCTTCTGAAATATTTCAGCAAGAGGTATAAAATGTTTGACAAACAGGAGCAGAAGGACTATTTGTGCCCGATAGCCAACTGCGTGGAAGAACAGGTTTAAAACGGACAGGAAGCTTTGAGAGGTTGGTTCCCAGGGCGACCAGGCGGCTGCCTGTCTCACACAGAGCTGTCATCTCAGCAGATGTCCATTTAGCCTCAGTTGGCTCCAAACCCACAAAACCATCAGCAGATATTTGGTTCAAAGAATCACTGAAGTTGAGGATTGTTCATGTTCAGCACTATGATGTTCTCTCTAAATGTTCCCACGAAATTCCCTTAATTTACATTTAGATCCATGGAATATGTCTTGATCAGCCTCCCATCAGACATAACAAGACAGAAATGATTATCTTATTATTATCCATGTCCTGAAGCCTCCCTTGGCAGTGGATCCAATTCCTTACCTTGAAGTATCGATGGAAATGACAAAATTCAAAATAACTTTTTCTATTTTTCAATTTTGAGATGGTTTTTGGTATTTCCGTAAGGTGAACAGATGACAGGTTTGCCTCTCTGTTTACCTGTGTGTCTTTGACATAACACAGCAGGTCTGACATAGTAATTACAAAACTGATTGGTGACTTTTGGCTCAATGGGATCTGGTACCAGGTACACATATGAAGCATACACCAGAGGTGGCGGGGGTAGGAGTGACTTGGCTAGTTTTTATGGCAATAACCATAACCATGCTTCCATTTATGTTTTTCTATGCAGATTTTGAAGTATCTTTGAAAATGACAAGATTTTTGTTCAATTGTGCAATTTCTAATTGTTTTTTTGATATTTCCAATAAAGAGTTAATGTGTCGAAGGGGAGATGGAAACACATTTACTGAATAAGTACTGACGTAGCGAACATTCACCTCACAACTGACCAGCTGTGTCCATTGTCGGCGTCTGTCAGAATGCATTTATTTGTCAACATCTCAGGACAGCATGTAACTTCGCCAATATTAGTTAACATAACAGAAAAGCTATAACACATTCCTGAAATCCTCTCTTCATTTGTCTGAAATGTGTGGTCTGTACGAGTTAGTAATCTCTACTTCCTGTTTCTTACAGCCATGCATAACAACAACATCTGACAAAATCACGCTTTGCATGGCCTGATTGATTCGCTCCAAACCAATAGATGGAAACACGCCTAATTTGCTTTTTCCCCCCCAACATTTTAGAAGTTTGCTCAAAATCAGCATGACAATTGGATGAAAACATAGTTAATGACTGTACAATCTAGGAAAAATGCTGAATACATAAAACACACTTTGAATTCAGAAGAGAAGAACAAAATAACAAAAGTCAGACAAGTCTGAGTCCAAGAAGCTCTCTTAGACATTATTACCATTCAACTGATCATGTCTCTCTGAGGTCAGTTTAATTGAATATAATCATTATATTTGAATACAAAATGTGAACATAATGATGCGTTACATTACCCATTTAAACCATTAGATGGAGTTTCAATGTCATACAGTCATTGGTATTTCCTAGGACCCAGCCTGCTTTCTTAATTATCTCTGTCTTTATATGAATATAATGTATAAATCATTATCCACTTTTCAAACTCTCCTCCATTTTTTTTATACTTCTCTAAAAGGGCCATATGGTTGCTGTTATTTCTTTCCAGTGCTTACACAAAGCTGTGATTTTAATACATGCAAGACCATTCTGCTCTGGTTCATAAACTGAACTTTACCTGCAGCATATGGCTACCGTAGGCTGCTCCAATATGCTGCTGCAGTAAGATTTTCTAATGTGCGATGGTCTGAATGTCTTTTTGAAAAAGTGAAGGTAGTGAGATTGAACTCATTGAGGCATGAAAGGAGAAGACATGGGAAGTGTGTGTGCTTGTAGTGAGGACTGACTGTTCTGGTGCTGTTTTTTGGGTTTGGGTTTGGGTTAGGTTTAGGACTAACGTGTGAATTGGGTTTAGGTCAGGTTAAGGGTTACACATATACTAGTAATACTTAGGTTTAAGGTTTAAGATAAGATTGAGCTATAGAAATGAATGAAACATGATTGCAAAGTCAATATTAAGTTATTGTGAAGATAGAAAGATATACATATGGACTTGATGAAAAGTATGCCTAATACCTGCTTAAAGGTTCTTTTCAAAAAGTACTTTTATTCTGATAAACACGACTATTTAGGATGTACATTCTAATTTACTGGAAATAAATTGCGATTTACATGACTGTAGATGGGCGAACTGTTACCCGATGTGTTTGTAGTAGAGAAATCTTTCGTTTTTGTCTTATGAAAAGGTGGCGTATGGATGGATCAGTGGGTAGGTGCTGCAGTCCTCAACATGGTTGTCCTGGGTTCAATTCCCAGTTTCAGTCAATTTGTTACGTTCTCTCTCCAGCCTGTTTCCTCACAGCTTACTGTTGAATAAAGGCCACTAATGGCCAAAAATATCAGTGAATTATTATTTTTTTTTTCAATTTTGGCCCATTTCATTAAAATGAGCCTTTTAAACTGCACGCTGGTAAATACAATAAAGTCCAGGTAAGCAATGTTCTAACACACCTGCTTGACTTTAAAAGCTACATGTGGCTGACAAACAGCTCATCAGTCAGGTCACCACTGTGGCACTGAATTTCTCTGTTTATTCTTGGTATGCTTTCTATCCCATTAGCCTTGTAGCAGAGATGGAAGTGTGGCTTGCTTATGTATTCATAACAGAGATGGAATCCACTAATGGCCTCATCCATGCAAATCTGTGTGACAATAATAGCAAAAATGGGAACATGTACTAGATCATGCTGTGCACAAAAACAAACACATTGAAACATCCTAAACACTGTTTAGGACTTCTGGACCCAGATAAATGCACAGTATAAAATCATTTTCTTAACATGAACTAGTTCCTTTTATTCTTTTTTTGTTTTTGTATTTTTAATTTTCACATTTATTTATTTTATTTTTTTTTACCATAAATCAATTTGTTCAGTGTCCATTAATTTTCAATGTACAAACTATAAATAATTGAAACTGACAAAAGGGTTTTGTACATTTCTAAGCATCCTGTTTTCTGCTGCAGTGCTGCAGAAAACAGGATGTGTCTGAGAGTTGTCAGTGCAAATAAAAAGACATTGTGACAGTTAATGTGAAACCCCACTATTGGAGCAGGCTAGAACATAAAGGGAAGCAGTCATGTATACTAATTATATACAGTCTCTTTATGCATTTAGATCAGTGGTTCCCAAAGTCGGTCCTAGTGGCCCAGCATCCTGCACGTTTTAATTCTCTCCCTGGTGGTAGTAACAACCTTTTCAGCATGTCAATGTTCTTCTTAGGCCTGTAACGAGCCATCATTTGATCCAGGTGCTTTAAACCAGGGAGAGAACTAAAACATGCAGGATGCCGGCCCTCAAGGACCCATTTTGAGCACCACTGATTTAGATGTAAAAAACATTTACAATTAAATGCACATTTTACAAAAAAAATGTTCATTTTACTGTGTTTTTTTGTGTGTGCATGCATGTGTTTGCATGTGTATGTGTGTGTGCAAATCTGGCAGCTATGTTATTTAAGGAACCAGACAAACATCCTCTATTAAATCTGGAAGTTGGCAGAGCATGTGCTTGCTCTCACATTCATGTCACTCTGTTTACAGAGCATTCACACCTGGATGGATACATGGACATATGGCCATGCATCACGCAGAATAAAACATGTCAAGTCCACAGCAGGCTGACCAGCGGCTGCTATGTGGAAAGGATCAGGGAGTAGCTCACCCTCTGAGAAATAAAGGCAGGAAGCATACACTCGCTATACAGCTGGGCACAGATGTACACAGACAACAGTGAGCACATTCACATACCTGACATAATACACAGCCGCTCACTATCTGCCCACCTAACAAAGAGCTGAATATGGCTCTTCTGGGAGCTCTTCACATTTTAGAGCGCTTTTGTAGCCATTCGTTGACCCTGCAGCTCATAAAACCAAAACAGGTTAATGACACAATTCATTAAACAGACTAAAAACAGCAGCATGTCATTATGAAAAATGGCTTCAGTTTTTGACACTGATAAAAAATAATTAAAAAAAAACCCCATAAAATTAACAACTGGCACAATAGCAAATAATGCAAATTTGAGAGCAGAAGACAAAGTGCAGATAAGTGGTCAGTTTGTCCTCCAGCAAACTTCACCTATAACAACATAACCACAGAGATAACTCAGAATTCCCTGACCCCCTCAGTTCTGGACTGTCATTTGTGACCAGTGACACAAACCAGAAAGTGAAAAATTAGCTAAGTTCATTTAAAGTGAACATTTTCCAGTGCTTATCACAAGTCGGTACCTTGGACAGAATCTACAGTTTCATCCTGACATCACACTGGATGTAAAAGTGACATGACTTGAATGCAGCAGTGAGTTTGCAAACTTCTCTGCTCAGATTGCCAGTAGAACTTTGGCATTATCATGACAGACTCCAACCTCCTGCTGTCAATTTGCCATCTGGTTTCTCTCCTTACCTGCTGATGAGTCAGCATCCTCTCTTGGTTTAGATCTTTCCTTTTTTTTTTCTCTGTGTGTCTAAGTACACTAATTTTGTAATCATGTGTACCATGAAGCAGCATAAAAAATCAGCTACTTCAAGTCAACACATCTTACTGTGCATTACATTTTAATAGACATATCTTGCCAAACTGTCACAATGTGCAGCAGTTGACTGAAGAACTGTAGAATTTCACCTTTATTTATTTGTCTAAACATTTTTTTTCTGCCTCCTTGTGGTTTACATATTGATAATTAGAATTTTTCCGAATTGTTTTATTATGAATATTAATGGTTTGTTTATCTGGGATAGAAAACTCAAAAATCAACTTTTATTTTACATTACTGAAGGTTCAAAGTGCAAAGTTCACTTCAGATTTCTTTTTGTTTGCCTGTGCAATTTTCATGTATGAGTTTATATTTGACATTATTAATCATACCTATTTTTGCAATTTTAAACCATCATTTTGGTTTTACTACAACAGAGTGGTCATGAAAATGAATGTACAACTCACTCATGGTGCCGTCCCTACAACGTCAACAGATGTGGCTATTCAAATGGAAAATACATAAATAGAAGGACTATGATTTCTATGTGGAACCAACCAGTCAAAAGATTTAAGGAAAGCAAAACATCATTCCAAATGTACATGCCGAAAAATGACTAGCAAGCTCAGAGGTGCTACCGCTCACCTCACCTCTTCAACTCAAACATCACAAACATTTTTGTGACATACCAAGTTATTTCTTGCTGTTGCTGGTGGCACAATGCATTATGGGAAATCCCCCACTGTTACTTCAAATTAGCTAACTTAATATTTGAAAAAGACCCTCAACTTATTTAAAGGAAATGCTCATTGTAACAACTAGAAAAGTAAATTATATCCACTTAATTTGCTAGAGTAAAGCCAACATTGACACCTCACTGCACCCAAAAGTTTACTAGACTTTTAATTGTTAGCAAGTCAAGTTAAGTCGTATCTTTTGCAGATAAACATGATGTTAAAATGTACATGGTGGACCACTCCCCTTCGTTTCAGCACTCCCAGCTGCTGCTTCTGAAAATAGACACACAGGGCTACTCGTTAATTATTCTAGATCCTCTTCCTCGATATGCCTATGTAATTAATACAATCAAATGTCTGATTTTTAATGAAAGGTTTCTTGCTATTATCTCATGATTTCCATATAAACTCCTGAGCTCTGAGGTCCTTCTAATGTCAGCCATGTGCTATCATGACAGAGTGAATCCTCGTTAACAGCAGCAATATAATGGTTGCAGCAGAAATTCTAAGTATTTAGCCTTCTGCTGTTTTATGCCTGAATGTGCATCGAGAAACACCATAGAAACAATCAATCAAGGCTGGCATCGTGCAGGGTTGCAAATTACCCCACTGTGAAGGACTGTGTGCACTGAATGAGAATTCTGGAAATTCACAAGGAGAAAGTAAAAATG